CCCCCCCCCCAGCCCCTCCTTGACTGATGGCAAATTTCTCCCGTCATCGGCGCATCTCCCTTGGAGAAGGGTTGGGCTAGGAATGCTCTCTGGGGGAAAGACTTTCTCGAAGACTCTCTACTCCCTCCCTACCGTTCGTAGCTCTTCCGAGGGAGCCTGGGCTGAGGATCAGGACAGCGCAGTGCCGGTGCGGGTCACGGATAAACTGTGTGACCGTGGGTGAGTCCTGTTGTGTCCCAGCGCCAAAGAGCTTGGCCGAGCAAAACCACTATGCAGATGTGCCCGGCAATTACTGTTTGGCACCCGCCCTCCCTCCCCACCAGCGTCTGCGGCCTCTTCCCCACACAACCCTGTGGGAACGGTCGGGATAAACAAACCCGGTGCCAGGCAAGAATTACTCAATGTGACACTTAACTGATGCAAAATACACAAATTCCGTGGCACAGCGCAGAATTTACAAGCGGAGGGGCCGACGGGGCGGTGGAGGAAGGGGCGGGGGGAGGGAATTAATCACCGAGTCTCAGGCGTGAAATTAAATTCTGAGGGAAAGAAACCTCTTTCATTACTCCGGAGCAGAAGTAAAATGCTGCGGCGTGTACGGGCGACAGCCCGGGGGGATCGGGCGCTGTCGGGGCTGGTGCAGAGCTGGGGGAGACAGATGGCTGGGCCCCAAGAAATCTCCGGGGGCGTGCCGGGGCTGGAGGGCTGGGGGTGCCCCGGGGAGGCTGCTGGGACCTCCCCCGGTCGGACGAGCAGCGCTGCCCCGGAGAGGCACCCTGAACACGGCTTCCGCACCTGACTTCGCACTCCCCGAGCTGGGGCGCCCTGGGCTAGTCCGCCAGCCTCTCTGGTCACTGGTTTCCTCTTTATAAATGCAGATAATGTCTATTCCACGGAGTTAATACTCGCGGAAGCTCCTGGTAAACGCTAAACAAGCACGTACATGCACAGAATGGTTGTTTCGGGGGTGCGTTATAGGGGGCTCGGGCTACTCTTGTCACTGCCTCCTTCACCTTGGACAATACAGAAAAATGGCTCTCCTCCCCTTCCCCAACACAGGCACTTTGGAAGGGAGGAGGAATACTAACGCAGCAACAAAAGGCCACTGCCAAAACAGCGCTCCCTGCGGGGCAGAGCCCAGACTAAGCCTTTTCCATCTGGTATCTATTCTTCCCAGCAACCCCCGGGGGCGGGGTATGTTTTGTCGCTCCCATTTTACAGATGAGGAAGCTGAGGTTTGAGACGTCCCTTCGTTTGGGCCAACTTGCACGTGGTGAGGCTAAGCCTAAACCTTGGCCTGGATTCAGAGTCCTTCCTTCCCGCCCTCTGTATCCAGCTCTGCGAGGACCGAAGGGTATGGTGGAGGCCCTCGTCCGATGACCATCAGAGACACTCTGCCACGTGGGTCCTTCTGCTCCTTCCTCTCGCCTTAGGGCCTGGGCAGACAGGGGCAGCCGTCCCTTGGGGTGCGCGGGCTCAGACCCCCTCCCCCCTGCCCCGGTGCCACCTCTCCATCTGCTGACCTGGAGCTTCTGGCTAGAGAGGGGCCGCACCCTTCCCAGCCACCAGCCGGGGAGCCCTCGGGGGTGCGGGCCACTACAGAGTGAACCGTCTCAGCGGAAACCACGGCCAGCCTCTCTCGTTCAGGACTGACGGAGCCCCGCCTCAAGCCGGAGAGGATCTGCGGTGTGTGGGGCCGGAGGCTGAGGCCCCGAGCTCCCCGACGTGCCCCCCTCGCACCCCCTCTGCACCGCCTTGCTCCTGTATCACTTGCGTTTTTGCCGAGACAAGCAGCTTGCAGATGGCCTTGTCATATCACATCACATCAGGGCCGTGTCACCGGCGGGGCCCCTTCCCCTTGGCTCCCTCCGCTTCCTTCCCTCCAGGTCCCTCCTGCTTCTCTCAGATCTCGTTCACTCTTGACTTCCCCTCTGCCTTTGTCTCTCTGCGTAGGTTTTCTTCGGTTTTCTCCCTGTCCCGGGTCTACTCTGTGCCTGCGCCTCTCCCCTCGTCTGGCCGGGGGCCTCCCTATCTTTACTCCCGTGTCTCTTCGTCTCTGGTGCATCTCTTATTCTCTTCCTACCTCCCCCGCTTCTCCTCACCGCCGGTGGGGAATGGAGACCAGAGGGAGAACGGCTGGCATAACCTCCAGTCTAAAGAGTGTCTTCTTTGAGACACCTGCCCACGCCCCCCCAGAAGTGGAGGTGAGATTGGCAGGATGAAGGGGCCAAGTATGTGTGCTGGAGAAAGAAGCCGGCCTGCAGGAGGGGGATGTCTGCACTGTGCCCACGTTGTATGAGAAGCATGCAGATGAGATGCAAAATAGCATGTAGACAAGTCCCCATAATTTGGAAGGGAAGCACTCCAACACATTTGGGAGCTGGGCTGCAGATTCTGAAGTCCAGCCACGAAGATAGGGCCTCTTAGTACAGTCCCCTTGCCTTCCCGCATGACAGTTTCCCCTGGCATTGGTTAATTCCACAAATATTTACTTAGCACCTACTATGTGCCAGGCATAGGCCCAGGTGCTGGAGACACAGGGGAGAATCGGAGAGCCCCACCCCTGCCCTGCTGGCTCCCACTCTCCTGTTCTTGCCTCCAAACGTGCCGGGCAAATGAGAGAGGGGTCTGGGCTAGAGTTCATCTGGGTCCTCACCAAACCCCAGAAGGTCAGAGTCAGACAGAATCAGAGTGGTCATCTAGTCCAGCTACTTCTCTGGGGTCCCCGAGAGGTCACGTGATTGGGTGAGCCTAGCCTCCACCACCACTGCTCTATCCGTTCACCCTCCCTCCAAAAGCCACTCCAATCCCACCTCCTCAAACAGCAGAGATGGTCAAATTGCAGGTCACAAACCGCGAGGAACTTGTGAAATCCATTTGGTAAGTTGCGACCAGCATTTAAGTAAATCAAAATTGGACAGCATCGAATAGAAAATATCAGAGTGCGTTTAAATGCACATGGTAGGAAATACCAGAGTGCATGGCACAGGTTAGGATAAAAATGTCTATCTGCAGATCGCAGTCAAAAGAGTTTGAAGAAGTACAGTTCCAGAAAGGCACTGATCCTTGAGGGGTACCATGTGTCCTCCTTTACTCTGTGACTGGGGCATGAATGGGGTGTTCAACTGACCCTTCCCATGGGGGTGTCCACACTCTGGACGCAGAGTGTGAGTCCTGGCTTTGCCTCCCACTGGTTAAACAGTTGGGGCAAGTCGCTTGGCTTCCCTAAGATCTGGTTTTCTCACCTGTAAAACACATCGGTGTATACCCCACAAGGCTATCACGGTGCCTAAAGGATAGCAGAGGAGTGAGATCTCTGGCATGCAGGGGACTTAAATAACCGTTAGCTTCCATCCCTCCTAAAAGGTGATAATAATCATTCCTGGGGTGCCTGGGTGGCTCAGTCGGTTAGGTCTCCGACTTCGGCTCATGTCATGATCTCATGGGTTGTGAGTTCAAGCCCCGCATCGGGCTCTGGGCCGAGGGCTCAGAGCCTGGAGACTGCTTCAGATTCTGTGTCTCTCTCTCTGCCCCTCCCTGCTCACACTCCGTCTGTGTCTCTCAAAAAAGATAAAATAAACATTAACTTTTTTTTAAAGTGATGATCATTCCAGAATAAGCATCCTTTATTTAATTTACAAATAGTTTTGCTTCTGAATTCTATTCTGCCTACTTTTAAGCTATAACAAAAGAGACACATGCACTCAGAAATAGGTCAAATAGAATCTTAAAATATATTTAGAGACACGAAGGAAAAAAAACTTCCCCTATCTGATCTAATTTCACCTAATCGTTAACTATGTTTGAATATCAGGTTCTATTTAGGAGCTTCCTGGCAGCAAGGGCAAAAAAAGGAAACAGAAGATGGATTCCATTAACTCTCATTATCTGATAAATGGCAACACATCAGTTCTTCAGGTGAGCTCGCTTCCTTAGGTACAGACTCTGAAGTTCTTACATGAAGGGCCCTCCACACCAAGCTGGACGACTTCTGCCCCAGGAGGTCCTATGTTTGTGTTCCTTAAGCTCCTTCTCCGAGGCTCCCGACTGCCTAGATACACAGCAGCCTTCCCGGTCCCTGGTGCGGACGTGCCCACCCCAGGGCTGGGCTGGCGCCCGCTGCAACCCCCTCACCTACCTGTCACAGAGAGGCGGGCCCCATTGCTCTGCCGGGTCTCCCCGCTATATTTGTGCTTGGTGATGCAGCGGTAGGTGGAGAGGGCGTCCTCTTTCTGCACGTCAGAGATGTACAGCCCGCCGTGGTGAGTAATAAAAAACCTGTTTTCTGGAGACAGAATCAAGATATAATCCTTTACTCCCTTGGCTGGGCACACCACCAGAAGCAACTCAGGCCGGCAGCCGGCCTTTCTCCCAGAACCGTTATTCCTTTCAGTGTTAGATGCTTCAGAGTTTTATAGAAGCATAGTAGGCTTTAGGGTCAGACCGAGACCTGGGCTCCAAACTGACTTGTCCACTTATCAGCTGTGTGATCTCGGAAAACTTACTTAACTTCTCTGAGCCCTATCTGTACAACGGGGTGCAAATAACACCTCGCGGGGTGGATATAAGGATTAAAAATAATAATAAAGTGGCACATAGCAAGTGAGGGTCAGCGTCACCTGGTGAATGTCAGTCCTCATCTCTCCTATGTCTGTGCAAAAGCTTGCAAAGCTCTCTCACGTCCATCGCTCATTTGCCCTTACAACCGTTTGTGCGTCCTCTCCATTTTCAGGTCACACAGCCAGTAAGCAGAGCAGAACTCAGCCTTCTGGTTCCCAGCTCTGTGTACTAAACCAAACACAAGCCTAAATCCCTTTCTCTCGATTTCAATCGTATATTCACTCATCAAACAGTTACTGAGGCCAAGCTCTGCCACTAGTAGGGATATAGAGATCCAGATACACAGTGCTAATTCAACACACAGTTCTCGAATGCCCGTTTTGTGCAAGGCGCAGGTGCAGGCACTGTGCTTTCCTTTTCCAGGTCCTACTGTCAGGACTCGGCAGGGCAGCCAGAAGGACAGGCAGTAAGACACCCATTTTGCTGATGGTGACATATGACTCCACTTAGAGATGGAATGGGTTTCCAAGGTCCTGGGGCAGACCTTGAATTTGAGCTAGTGAGCGCTGATTTTAAAAGGGGAGAATGTGGACTTGACAGTTGGGGAGGGGCTTGCATTCAGCTTCAGACTCCCCTAAGCTCATGGCAGGGCCATCCCACCCAAGAGCCAGCCAAACTGGGATTGAGAAGCTAAGTTTGGGTCCCTCTGCCTGCTCTCTGGGGGCTAGGCTGCTTCCTCCCGCCTGGGGGCTGAGTGACACCCCCCACCCCCTCAACCCCTGATAAGAGCTCTGATACTGGCTCACTCCCCTATTAGAAATATTCTGGGTGGCTCAGTCGGTTGAGCGTCCGACTTCGGCTCAGGCCATGATCTCGCGGTCCGTGAGTTCGAGCCCCGCGTCGGGCTCTGTGCTGACCGCTCAGAGCCCGGAGCCTGCTTCAGATTCTGTGTCTCCCTCTCTCTGACCCTCCCCCGTTCATGCTCTGTCTCTCTCTGTCTCAAAAATAAATAA